AAGACGAACCACACACGATTGAAGCTGCTGCCAGGGCAAGAGAGTAGCAAACGTAAAAACTGACCGAAAGGCGTCCGTGGCGACTGTGGCGACTGTGACGAATGGAAGGGGGGGGGCAGTGTGGGGGAGGGGGGGGCTAGCGGTGCTGCTAGCTTTGTCCGTAGCTTCTTTGTCCTCAGCTCCGGGTTCTCCGGGGGCCTAAATAGGAGGGCGGGCGGATTGGGGGAGAATGTCCGCGTGTCCTTGGGTTCAAATTTGAATTCGGTTTTAAATTTGAATTTGAATCTGAATCTAAACTTGAAATTGAAATTTTGCTTCCTAGCGGGTTGTCTTCCTCTCGAAGGAGAAAGACAACAATCCACGTCATCCCCCGTCGGCAACTCCCAACGGCCAATTGCTCCTGTTGCTTTCCCTGCCACCTTGCTTCTTCCTCCCCCCCTGCCCTGCCCTGTTCTGCCAATACACATACACACACACAACCTCTAGTGGATCCCCCCGTTGCGGCACTAGTGGGTCGCTGATGGTCTTCCAGTGTTTTTTTTGGTAATATATTACTTTTTTGGGAATAAATGGGGGTCTGAGCCTGGAAGAAATGGAATAATTGGTCAGTTGGCCGTACTGGTTCATTACTTCGGCCATAAGTCGCCCCAAATGCCTTCTGCACATATAAAGCTGAACATTTGGAGCTTATACACTATTTATGTATAAAATATTTGATGATATCACCATGAGACGGCCCGCTGTTGCATTCAACTTAGGTCAACGTGGCATTCGTTCATTCTTGACCAAAGCAAACGGCTCAGAAAGTCCGCAGACGCAATGCCCCAAACATTTAGAAGAAGAATTAGATAATACAGAAGACAAGGATAGGCATGCCGTAGTTGCCGCTCTTGAAGTCAGTGAAGCCAGCGATTTGAGCGAAGCTGAGGATCCCCTGGCGAAGCGGCAACACACAACTGCAGCAATCAGCGACTCAGCTGAGCAGCTTGATTCTGACGAGGAAGGGCCACCGCCCCAAGATGTCGCCACGGCACCACCGCCACCTTCAAGGGCGGGTGCTTCGCAGCACGCACCGCTGGTGATTCAAAAGCAGGCGCGGCGCCAGCAAACACAGCGTGTGCCAAAAGGCCAAAGCGATGGGAGCTGGCGGGAGAATGAGGGAGTGCGTCGCTTCCAGGCGCACTGGACAGCTTTGTTCGAATGGGCTGAGTGTGTTGCACCGGATATGGAGGCTGGCGAGGTGCACGACCGTGTCCGGTGCGGTCCCTGCTCCCTCAGCCGGCAGCGGGACATCACGATGGATGCCAGGCAGGCCACACTAAAAAGCCACAAGCTTTGCGAGTGTTGTTTACAGCACACCGTACAGCCTTTGAGGGGGGGGTCTGGGGGGGGCGCAGCCCCCCCCAGCGACTATACAAAAAGGAATTGTAACCGCAAGAAACACCCAGTTTATTACTCTAGGGTATTAGGCCCCAAACGAAAAAAAAACACTGTGGTCTTCCCGACTCACCTCCCCCCGACTCGCCTCCCCCGGCAGGTGCTGTTCATGCAATCTGACGGGGGCCTATCACCCGTGGATCGCTTTTCCGGTGAGTCGCTCGCACCACACACCGCCCCCTCCCCCGCCCGTGTGTGGTTCAATCGTGTGTGGTTCGTCTTTCCCCCGCCCGCCCAACCCATCTTTCCCCGGGGTGGGGTCCAATGCGCCTTGTCAGCTGTCCGCTTCCCGGGCCCTCCCGGACATGTGGCCGCCAAGGAAGGCTTAGGCCCCCAAATCAAGCACCCACGCACACACACAAGCACACGCACACACCTAAAGCTAAGCGTACACACACGCGGCCCGCTCCTGGCCACCCCGCCACTCCGCCACCCCGCTTAGGTCACAAGGCTATTCTGTCCGGGCCCGCGGGCGGCTACGTGGGCTACGCCCTCACCACCCGCTGGCCCGGTATGGACCCCACCAGACTGCAGGTGTGAGGGGGGGAGGGGAGGGGGGGGGAGGGGGAGGGACCAGTTGCTTGGAGTTGAGGGGGGAGTGGGGGGGGGGGAAAGCGTGTGTGTGGGGGGGAAAAGGGGGGGTCCTCTGTGCGCAGTTCGCCGCCACGGACACCGGACAGCGGCACATGCTCTGCAACACGACCTCCCCCGCCCTTGACCTCCGTTCCATCGCAGTCCTTACCGCTGTCCGCCACCACTACCGTACCTACCTACCTACCTACCTACCTACCTTCATCCCTGCCTAACTACCTAACTACCCTGCCTACCTGCCAACCGAAAGGCCGTCTCGTGACTATACCATCGGGGGTTGCATGCCATGCCATGTGTCATGTGTCATGTCGTACCTCGCCACAGGCCATCGGGTTCGACATGGGCGGCACATCCACGGATGTCAGTCGGTACGCGGGCAGCTACGAGCACGTGTTTGAGACCACCACGGCGGGGGTGACGATACAGGTGGGGGGCGGGGGAGGGGGGGGGAGGGGGGAAGGTGGGGGGAGGGGGCGGGTTTTTTTCTCTTTCTTAACGGCCGCTGCCCTTCCCTGCCCGGGAGTCACCACCTATCCCTCTCGCATACACACACATACACATATACACACACACATACACACACAGAAACCCCTTCACCCCTCCATCCCTACATCCATCCCTGTCTCAACCCACCACCTTCCTCCGGTATCTCCTTCATTCGCCGAGGTTCCATCTTTACCCCCCCCACACACACACACACTTGTTTACGCCCCCCCCACACACACACACACTTATTTACCCCCCCCACACACACACACTTATTTACCCCAACCCACACACACACACACTTATTTACCCCAACCCACACACACACACACACTTATTTACCCCCCCCCCACACACACACACACTTATTTACCCCCCACACACACTTATTTACCCCCCCCCCACACACACACTTATTTACCCCCCACACTCACACACACACTTATTTACCCCCCCACACACACACACTTATTTACCCTCCCCCCCACACACACTTATTTACCCCCCCACACACACACTTATTTACCCTCCCCCCCACACACACACTTATTTACCCCCCCCACCCCCCTACACCTCACACCCCCTCTGTTCTCCCCCCGCCGCCCGCCGCCCGCCGCCCCGCAGGCGCCTCAGCTGGACATCAACACGGTGGCGGCGGGGGGGGGCTCCCGACTGGTGTTCCGGAACGGGCTGTTCGCGGTGGGCCCGGAGTCCGTGGGGGCGCACCCGGGGCCCGTGTGTTACAAGAAGGGAGGGCAGCTCGCCATCACGGATGCGAATCTGCAACTCGGCAGGATTCTGCCGGACTTTTTTCCCAAGGTCGGTAGTCGTCTTCGTGGAGTGTGTGTGTGTATTCCTTTAGGCTTCTTTCCTTCTCCTTAGGAGCCTTTTTTGGTGCTTCGTGTGTGTCCTTTTGAGAAAATGGGCGCTGCTTTGAAATTTGAAAATTTGAAAATTTGAAAATATTTATTTTTTTTATTAGGTGAAGATCCGGACTCTCGTGTCTGTGTGCGCCTGTGCGTATCGGTGTGTATGTACGGCACATACGGGTGTACGGCAAATGTACGACAACAACAGTAGGTGGCAGGGAAGGTCCCCCGGTCTCCCCCCACCCCCGCTCCGGAACGCCGTCCGTCATCCGGCATCCGTCACCACCGCTCCCCCGCAGGCGGAAAGCGGGAACCTGGCTTTTCATTGTAGCTGCTTTCTTTGTGTTTGAGGGGGTGGGGGTAGAGGTGGTGTACGAGATATGTACGATAATATGTACGATACGGCGGGGCAGTGCGATAACCCTCTCCGCCCGCCGCCACCCCACCCCCATATATATAGGGTTTTTAACTTCCTTAGATGGAAATTTTATCTCAACTAAACTTCCTTAGAAACTAATTAGGTTTAGTTGAGAAGTTTAGAAATCTCAACTAAGGTTTCGGCTACTTTCTGGCGGAAGGGTCGTTTAGGCTGAAACTTAGGAATTAGAATCCCCATTTGCTGCTTATTAACGATAATTCAATAGTTTTGCGCTGCGTTGAGTGTGCGCAGCGAAAGGTGCTCAGTTGGCACACGGGGCAAGGGACCCACGGGACACCACCGCCTGCAAGCCACTGCACACCCATGGAAACGAGCATTACATAGCAAGTAGCAAGCCCCTAAACGCTCCAAAGAACACAGCGATTGGCAAACTGCTGAACTGCACACCACGACACCAGGCACCTCGTGCCAGTCGATGTACCCCGCCGCCCATTACACACACGCGCTCTTCTCATCCTCTGCAGCTAGCAGAGTCATCACCACCTCCTCGTCCGACAGGCGGCTGCCCTTGCCCTTGTTGGAGTCGTCGTTCTGGCGAATGTAGATGAGCTTCTCCGCCCGCTCCTGCGACAGGCGGTTGCGAGCCTTGCTGAAAATGTTGCCCCACAGCGACCAGTTGCGCTCAGCAGCGCAGGTGGTCGTGTGCATGCGCAGTACACGGTCCGCCACGTTTGCCAATGCTGGGTACTGCACGGACATGTGCTGCGACCAGAACATTAGCCGCGCTTCAATGCCCGCGATCTGCACTGACACTGTGGTGGACTTGCCGGTCTCCACAGTCTTGCGCGCGGTCAGCACCTCCATGTGCTCCTTGCAGTCGTCGGGGACGCCCATTAGGGCGAGCGTGCCCCACTCAGAAAGCATCTCCTGAAACACAGCAGGCGTTGGAGAAGGAGGTGAAACACAACAGCCTGTTTAAAACACGATGCAATCTCACGTGCTGTCAGCAGCTAGATAGGATTGATGGCGCTCACCAAGAACAACACGAACAGTGCAGCCAGTGCTGCAAACACACCTTCCTCCCGCTCCTCCTTTCTGAGCTCGTGAAACGGCGGAAACCAGTTGTCCCCGCCATTCAGCTGAACGAATTCAGTCCTCAGACAGCTTCATCTAAAGTTTCTCAGGACTACCTAAGGTCTCTCCTAAGGTTTCGGAGCTGCCGTACAACTAAGGCGCCAAAGAATTCCATCTAATATCTCAGTTTAGTTTCTAAAGTTTCTCATATAAGTTTAGAAGTTTAGGTTTAGATGACTTCCAACCCTACATATATACCATACCATCCCGCTACCCGCTCCCCCGCGGCGGCGGCCCCCACTCCAACCCAACCAGATTTTCGGCCCCCATGAGAATGAGCCGCTGGATGCGGAGGGCACGGCCGCCGCCTTCCGAGCCGTCACCGCCCAAGTGAACGAGTTCGAGGAAAACACAGGTACGTGCGTGTGTATGTGTGTATGTGTGTGGGGGGGGGGAAGGGGGCCCCGCATGTGTGCATGTATGTATTTATGTACGTGTGTATTTCTATCAGGACCTGTTGGGGGTGGTGTTATTATTAGTTTTCCCTGGGAAGCCTTTCCCTTCTCGCCCCCCTTGGCAGCAGCTTCACTCGCTCCCCCTTTTTTTAGCGCAATTTCACCGGCACCCGCACCCGCACCTCACCCCTACCCTCCGCCTCTCCTTTCGCTGCACGTGTGTGTATGTCCCCCCAACACCCTCCCCCCGGCACCCTCCCAGGCGCCTCCTCCCGAAGTTCCTTAGACGAGGTGGCCATGGGTTTCATCCGGGTGGCCAATGAGGCCATGTGTCGGCCCATCCGGGCGCTGACGCAGATGCGCGGGTACGACGCGGCGGCGCACGTGTTGGCGTGTTTCGGAGGCGCGGGTGGTCAGCACGCGTGTGCCATTGCCAGAGCACTGGGTATGTCCACCATCTTCGTACATCGGTGGGTTTGCGGGGGGAGGGGGGAAAAGGGGGGTTGGGGGGCGAGGGGGGAAAGGGGGGGAGGGGGGGGAGGGGGGAAAAGGGGGAAAAGGGGGGGGTGGGGGAAAAAGGGGGGTGGGGGGGAGGGGGAAACGCAGGGGGAAAATACAAATACACATCCCTTGACGTGAAATGACTCAGACCCCGGGGACGCCAGCGGAGGGGCCCCGTGTTTCCCGGGGGGCAGGGAGTCTATAGGGAAGCAGGTTGGAGGGGAAAGCGAGTGGGTTTTCCTAAAACCCCTCACCATGCCCCTTTTCCCCTCCACTCAGCACCCCTTCCCTTGCCCCCCCCCCCCCACACACAATACACCTTTCTCCCCCTTCCCTCTTTCCCGCCCTCTCCCCCCCTCCCCCAACCGCCCTCGCAGCTATGCAGGTGTCCTCAGTGCTGTGGGTATTCACCTGGCAGATGTGGTGGCGGAGGTGCAGGAGCCCGCCGCCGCCAGCCTGGGGCCCGGGGACTTCAAGAGTGAGGTTCTGGACAGACAAG